TTTTGTGCAGCGATGGATTGTGCATCTTTGAACCGACGAATAATTGTTTAAGTTAAGCAGTATAAGGGTGCACGAAACTTGTTAACAGATGATTGAAAGAGTATCTGGATGTTATGGGCCAGTTTTTTCATGTACTGATTTTCTATGTTGCATGATGCTTCTCGTAAAAAAAAGGAACGGAATATTAGATTATGTTTTCCTAGGAAAAGAAATGGTGTTGGACAGTTGGAAAACATGATATTAATACTTTTAAATGAAAAAATGACTGATATGAATAAAATGTTTCTAAACAGAAAAACTAAAAATAAGTTACAAAAGAATAGTGAAAATAACAAAAGCAGAAACTTTGTAGTTCTCAGAAGTATTAGTGTCTGGAGACTTATTTACAAACCAATGCATCGAAAGTGTAATCCTGTCTTGCAACTTAAGCTCCCGTTGATCTCTTAGTGTTACTTATTTCATGTCTTCTCTGCAGAATACCAATATTCCTCCACAGATGCCACCTCTCCTTTGTTGCTTCCATCAACATAGCTGTCTTGTGGATTTGATGCCTCACCTCTTTCTTCAACATCACCATTACTAACACGATCACCATCATTCACAGTGTGCTCTAAAGTCCAAGACTGTGGTTTCATGTGATTGCTCCAGCACCAGGCATATTATCTCCAGGCTGTCATTCCCACTCTGTCAATGTTTTTCTCGATAAGTGATAACCAATGAAATAAAAATTCATAGATCTAGACATTTCTAAATTGCTCACATGAACCTCAAAATTACGGTGGGGAGGGCATGGAGCCTGAGCAGCATGACAACAACAACAGCCACAACTGTGTAGTAAAGCCGAGAAGCCCACTTGGGAGGATCTTCCTCGTCTTTCTTTGGCCAGAAACGGAAAGTTTCCTTCAATGTGTCTTCCTCTGCAAGAATGTTGGGGAAGAACCAAACACGCTTTCATAGAAGAATCCACATAGCACCGAAAGAAACTGCTCTTACTGCAAGGAGAGATTCATCAAAAGAACAGCATAATCTCAGTGTAAGCCAATATAAATCTATAGATTAATATATGTGTACTACGTTAAACAGATTATGTATGAAGAGCTTACCGAAAAGCAAGGAGAGAATCGTCAAAAGAATTCCGGCACATGAGTAGAGAACAATGAGTTTGCAACGGTGTGGGTACACAGGAAACAAACAAATAGCGAGGGTCAATACCAATAAACTCTTACCATCACAATAGCCAATGCACTTCCATCAGAACAGCAGTAAGGAAATGTCAGATTGGGGTATTTGAATGTCAGCATAAGGGGCTTGAAAACAGTATGTTACATATGAACCACATGTAAACGGAAAAAATTATGATGCTGCATTTATATATGTTCGTTAGAAACTCCAAAAAAAATACATAGAAAGATTTCCAAGACAGGCTTCAAGAGACAAAATGATAGCAGCCATAAAGGGTATTAAGATATACAAATGTGTCCATATTAAGCATTTTTAGTATAACTTGAGAGAAGCTCAGAGTTTTACCTCTTTTGGCATGATGAGAGGAAATAAGCCATTGTCCCTGCTGCAAGTGTGAGTCTACAATAAGTTCTTCTGAAATAAACTTCTGCTTGATCATCTGAGCCCGCCGATACTAAACGAGTTCAATGTGAAGATCCTTTAAAATAGAAACAATGATGTAAGAAACCAACTCCACCATTTTAAAATACTTCCTTATGTAAGTCGAGCACAAATGGTACACAGGAAAAAAGAGTTTCTGATATAAACACTTTGTTTTATCAACGAATAAAGATGGCGAAGGCTGAATAATTTTACCTGGAAAAGCTCAGCAGAACCATGATATGCCAATTTGTCCCTCACTAAGCCAGGATGATAAGCTAGGAATGATTAACCTGATCTACGTAACCTGCAATGTCAGGGAAGAACAGTTATTACAGAGTAGATGTACAAATCGTGAGGATAGTTATAGTGGCTTTTAGTTACGTAGTACTCCAGATCACGATCCCAAGCTAAATTAAAAAAGAAGCAAACCCTGCCACTTATTTATTATTGTTCCCAGCTAAGTACCCCATAGTT